CCCCCGCCCCCCTAGTGTACCTTACAGGCTGCTTATAAGGCTAAAACAGAGGAGGAAGAACAATGTACACTCAAATTCCTTAGTATAAGGGTGGGACAAAAATGTACTAAATCAGTAAATAGTTTTAGATCTATCCCTGTTTGTGTATTATCTGTACATACCTTTAAGCATGTTCTCAAACTGCAGAGGTTGCTCAAGATCTGCCAAGCAAGGGAGGACGTTTTTAAGAGAGTAATTCTCTGTTATTAGCAAGTCAGCAATTAAGTTTATCTGTTTGGATCATGCTATAAGAAAACAATAGGTTTTGCCAAGATAGCAAAAAACAGAGCACATCCATAAAACAGCGCCTTATATAAGGCTTGTAAAAATATTTATTTCTTATTAAAAGGTCTGTGGCATGTTTTTACCTGCCTAGTGGGTCTTGGGTTGCAAATACTCTAGAGGGAGGTGATTTCTACACATCCTGGGTTAAGGATGATCTGGCAAGAGGACTGATAACCCCAAAGGAGAGAAAGGGCAGAAGCTGAGATGCTTTTTACCTGAGGGAGTGGAGAATTTCTGCAGCAGAAGGCATTCCAGAGGAGAAAAGCCTGTGGGAGAGTTAGAAAGGCAGCTGGCCAAAGAGTTGCCATGTTTTGGTGCGCCTTTTGTTCCGCGGCACTGCGGTGGCTGTGAGGAGAAGTGACTTCTCAGAGCTTGTGAAAACAAGAGACCTCACTAAGTGTCCAGTGTGGTCTGCCTGCAGTTTGTCCAGAGAACAGACTTCCTTTCTGCCCTGACTTTGGAACTGCTCTGTATATTAGATTATTCACAGTTTCGTTTAAAACTCCCAGTTCTATACCCATTGTTTTTCCTGAGCCATTAAATAAAGGTGGTTTAAGTGGTGTTCAGGTTTTAAATGGGGCATTCACAATCGTGTAACCACTAACCTGGACTTTTTAAGGCGAAAAGGGTTACATGCATTAGGTGCACCCATTCTTCCTTTTACAGAGGGAATGCTCTAATTGTCAGGATCTGGAGAGAACATGAGAAAAACATTAACATGTGGTTAGGCTCTTGGCCATGACTGCTCACTCTGAGGCTCCGGTCACACGTTCTGGAAAATGCGTGGGGGAAGCATGACTGTTTGCCCAGGAGCAAAACAATGCACGGCCGCCCGATCACACATCCCGTTGAGGTCCTGTGGTTAGGGCGTGAGATGCCGATCACACGGCTATCATGCAGTGCGGCAAAGAAGCGGCGCGGCGCGATCACACCAGCAATCGCTAGGTGCCGCTTCCTTGACAAACGGGAATATTTTTTTTCTCACTAAACAGTGAGCATGCGCATGATTGTTTGTGCGCATCCTGTGAAGGCTTAAAAAAAACTAACCAGTTTGCAACGGGACTAGGACGGGACGCAATCAGACGCCCGCCCTTGCCCCGCGTTTTCCGGAAACTAGTACATCGCAAGTACTAGTTTTTTACTCCGTATCTTCGGCACGAAGCCACAGGTTAGCCATGGGTGCACTACACTTCCCAGATGTTGTAGTGTGATTGCGCCCGGAAAATCCGCCTATCATCCATATCTTTAGTGCGGCAAATGCTCCGTGTGAACGGGGCCTGAGTAACTTTCTACCAATCATTCCCCCTCAGCCTATTCTACCTCAGTGGGTTGTTATGAGGAGAAATTAGAGGAGAATGATGTAACCCACTTTGGGTCTCCACTGGAAGAAAAATGGGATATAAATATTTAAATAAATAAGTGGGCATCATGCTGGACTCCTCTGTCATATGTGCATGATGGTGTATGTACTGAGCCACAGTTTGGGCAGCAGCCTTTTGAAAGACAGAGACATAATGAAGTATGGCCGAAATAATGACGTCTTCAATTTCCTCCCCCAGATGATATCCCCCTGGTCCTTTACTGTGCAAATGTCAGGATAATCTCTCACAATCAGTGTGAGGCTGAATATCCTGGGAAAGTGAACAGGAAAATGGTGTGCGCTGCCGCCTTACAGAGAGGCACAGACTCTTGCGAGGTAAGGTCAATTTTAAGGATCATAAAAATGGTCTGGATAGAATCATGAAGTCAAGAATGCTGTGTCAAATTGTGACCAGGGGAGCTCACATAGCTGGACACATTAGACAGCAGTTGTTGAAGAGGGGCTTTCTTCACCTGAAACTGCTGGACACATTAGATAGCAGATGTTGAAGAGAGGCTTTCTTCACCTGAAACTGTGTAGAGTTCACTGCTGGTCAGAATAGACAACTCTGAAGTAAATGGACCATCATTTGATGTTCAATGGTCCTGTTAAGTCCTGCCAACATTTACATGTTGCTGAAGGTCAAACTACAACTTTTAGCCTTACTTTGTCTCAGACAGTCACACTTCAGCTGTGAGGGAAACTGTGTCACAAGCATGCAGGACTCCATTTTGAATCAGGACTGTGGTGCTGGGTAAAAGAGCTTCAGCCTCCCTCCCTGTTGTTTTGTGTGTGTGTGTGTTTTGTGTTTTGTGCTGTCAAGTCACTTCTGACATATAGCGACTAGGGTTGCCAACTTGAAAATTCCTACCGGCGGGGGAGAGTCCTGTAGGTGCGGGAGCCGGTCCGTGATGCGCGCGCCGCCAGAACGTCACCAGA